AGTATATTTTGCTTTTCATTCCATTTCGCCAGTTGCAGTGCACTTTTTATACCTCCGTGATCGAAGATTCGGAGGAATATAGTTTTTGCCTTGCATGCCCGTCTGTCTGTTAGTCCGTAAGCTCTAACCTTGATTGTTTGGAGCTATCAAATGACTTTCATATTTCACATGTGTATTTCTTGTGACAATGCCTTACATTGGGTACCAACACATTTGACCTTGACATTCGACTTTGACCTACTTCGGAACCTACTTCGGATTTTTTTTTTCAAACTTTAATGGCCGTAACTTCAAACGGTTGGTATCATGGCTTTAATATTTTAAGTATGTATTTATTGTCACAAGACCTTTTTAATGATATTATTATTTTTAACCTTTTGACCTTGACCTTTCAGTTTGACTCACTTAAAAAAAACTTAAGAAAAACCTTTCACCGTGGCCATGACTTTTGAACACATATCTTCATAAATCACAGATTCATTCCTTATAACAAGACCTCTGCATAGATACCAATTATCTTTTGACTTTGACCCTAGAGTTTGCCCTATATATCTCACATGTAAACTTTAATCTTTGAAAAAACTGCCATACGGGGGAATCAGTGTTTCACAAACACATCTTGTTCAATCCAATATATACAGTATCACCATCGGGTTGGCACTATTACGGACTCAGTCGCTTTGTATCCGCATCTCCTTAAACTTAACCGTTTGACTACAGCGCAGTCCTACCGCCAGTTTTATATTTTAAAATTGCTACCAAGACATTTCTTTTGTTGTAAACTTTCTTTTTCTTCTTTTCTTTATAAATACGCTGTCAAAGAATTATGAAAATTATCTAAATAAGGCTCTCCGAGATTAAAGGAAGATTTAAAACACTTGAAGAGGGAATAATCACAGAAGCCGGAAACTCAAGAGGCCGACAAGGAGGTTCTCTATACGACAGTTACGTAACGTTTGTCACAATGCATCCCTCCTAATTATCGACAAATGACAGAAAGGCATTGTGTACTAATTTTTTTTTCGACCGAAAGGTCATCTAAGCGGTGAACCAGACCGATTGCCTGCTTAGAAATTGCAATTATTTTGCCAACAGCTATCATCATTACGAAGGGAGAGGTTGGGGACCTTCAATAAACTTTCTAACCAAAATTTTGCTGCAAAAATGAATTTTTTTCAGTAAAAACATTTTTGTTACTTTACTTGTGACGTTGCAAATTACATTGTGAGTGGGTGCCCCATGCCTAGAGGATACTTTCGGAACTGATTACTGAACATCTCAATCTGGCAAAGCAATCGTGCGCTGGGGTACGTGAATGCACTAGCTGCGAGTAAAATCTCGTGGATCCGCGAGCGTTGACATGGCGACCGCGTGGCTAAGGTTGACGTCCGGTAAGAAAATGACGAAGGGAAACAATTTTTTTCTGGCGATATATTTTTTCTGCATTCAATCGTCAGTTTCTTTAAACAGAGAGAATATATCTTATTCAAGAAGAAGTGGATTTTCATTTGTATTAGGAGGTGGGACTAAACCTCAGTTATTGAATCTGGCTGGATTTTAACGATCTTCAGTATTTTGAAAAAAAAAGTATTTTTCTGTAACATGTAGTAATCCTCTTTTATAAGGTTCTCTCTTCTTTAGTGAAATACGGCTGGGACTTTTCAATTAAATCTCGTGTCATCGACCTATATTTTATACTTATTTGACAAATTACCCCCACAAGACATGAAAGACTCGTGATAAATAAGCATCCCTGTTGATTTCAATTAAAACTTGGAGAACGTGTATGGCCAACGGTAGGGTACGGCTAGCGGCCATTGACTCGACTTCACAATCTTCGGGAGCAAGTATCTCTAGTTAGGCCTTATAAGATACGATTTTCCATTAAGATAATGAGCAGCAGTAAAAATTACATGAAAATTGAATAATCAAGATTTCAGAACATAAAATGTTATCCCGTGCCCTCCATCGAACGACACGTAGGTCGATGGTCTTTCGCCTCCCGGCATTATAATATTGGTTTAAGTGTACTTCAGTTGTAAACTTATGTCAGCTTACCGGAATAGCCTCCATTAACAAGAGTAGATTCGGGTTACAGAAGAATCGGCGGCTGGTCGTTGTTTACCATTGATTACTTAATTCTCTTCCCGAACTGCAGATCGAGTTGAATTCTTCTAATTGCATATTTTTTTTTATTTTTTTCAGCTTGTCAACATGACTCAGGTAAATGAAAAAATCAATTGAGAATGCAATCATCACGGGTACAATGAATCTAACCTTGCATTCATAATTAAGAGTAGCAGTTTAATTACAATTTCGATCAGCTAAATCTACGAACGAGAAGATCTGTAAATGAAACGTATGAGTGCTACTCGATACATATGCTCTGAGACTTTTTGTGATGCCGCCTGATGATAACCCATGTTACATTTTCTCTTTCACCTCAAACAGACAAACAAACAACGTGGTATCTTACATAAGATAAAAGGGTTAAAAGTTTGATTCCAATCTACCCCTCACAATACGATCCCGTAATCTGACCCAAGGGGGGACCGAACAGAAAGGAAGATCCTGGAGATATCTTCTAGTTGTTGACTACTGTCAACAAGGGCCCCTTACGTTCTTGTGCAAAATCCTATCTCAAGTGGGGTGTTACAAAGGGCCTCCAGATGTTCCGTCTTAATACCTTCACTATACGTGCTTTTTCTTCAAGCTTCCATTTTTCTTCTAAAATAAAGAAACTACTGTTTTTTCACCTCATCATATCTTTTCCATCTTATTTTTGGGCATTGATTTTGAACAGGTATATGTCACACAGCAGAGTTCGGTTTCCCTATATTTGGGCGAGGACCTGAAAGCTGGATTTAGTAAGCATAGACATTAAAGCGATTTGGAACAAAAAAGAAACCATAAAATCATAATCGTTATCTTTGAGGAATAAGGCATCGCCATGAATCATCTCCGAAGCTCGCGCAAAAATAATTCTATCCGCCAGTTGCCATGACGACTAATTTGGGTTCTTTGTTGCTGACAGCGGCTGGAACATCTTTGGGAATTTTCTTGTTTTTGCTTATTCTTCAGAGAGATTGGCACAACCGAAGTTTCGTGTTGATTTAGGAGATAGAGACGGCGTGCGCCGATGTCTACTGTGCACGTGTGCATGATTAAAACAGTAAATACTGGCCGCCTCCTGGTTCTCTGGGGAGTGCTGCTCGGGGGGAAATGTAAATATTTAAGTCTGGTCAGGGGGAAGGTCCAGACATTGTAATTATGGACAAGATACATGCTTTACCCAATCCCATTAAAGAATAAGCATTTCCGTAACAAATTATTTTTTGAAAGTAATGAAGAGGGCTGTTCGTTACATTTTATCGCACCTGTTTCAAATATTTAAAATGTGGTAGGAATACACACATTCAAAATAAAAATTTCAAATATGCATCAGGGGTAACGAGGAAGGAAAACTGATGTTTTCACTTTGAAGTCAATACATGAATAAGAAATATTTTATTTTATCCTTTATTTTTCTTCCCGTTTATAACCATATGATGTTGTGACATAACTCTGTGTCTGGTGAAAATATATGTGAGGATACAAAACATCCCTGTGTCACAATTCATCATTTACGTCTGATGCGCAGAGTGATACAAGTTCTTAAACAAAACGGAGCTTTGTATGGGAACTTTGAATATTCTTTGCTTCCTTTGTTTTAACATGTATATGAGATTCCTTGTTACAAGTACATAACATTACCCATGCACTTAAGTTTCTATGCCCCCTCTTTATTCAAAGGGCTGTGGTTTTTAATTTTTAACTGGTGCATCCCTCTCAGTAAGTACCTACAAGAGCCGGTCTCGAAAGTCAAGCTTTTCGTGTATTTTCTCATATTTTTTCTCCCTTTTTTCACATATACATGGAAATTTTCAATCGCGAACAGCTGTTACATATCGATTTCTGTTGAGGCTTATACCAACAGCCGGTATAGATATTTATTAAAATGAAAACAATGGATTATAGTTCTTTTCCTCGTATATCCCTGCATTTTTTCTTTAAACGGCCAACTCCTTCTTGCAAAACATTGCTTGTTGCTTCAAATACCAATACTACAACTTCATACCTATTCCCACTCTCATTTGATACATTAAGAGACAAGTCTCTCAAAAGTACAAGTTAAAATATCATTTCTTTATATCTTTATTTTTTACAACAATAAGTTTCTCAACAACTTTTCTGACTTTTTGTTCATAAGAACACCAAATAGATGAAAGCATACAAACGTTTACTACATAACATTCAAACAGCGAACACCAAATATCTTCACACATACACAAAATGAACACTTTGGATGTTAAGTCGTATAAAAAGAGTTATCAAAAACAAGAGAAAGATTTGAGATCATAACTTTTTTCTGGATTTTCTTGAAAAATTTGTGCGATTTACAGAAAGTCTAAGGTTGAGAGAAACTTTTTTTCCTTTTCATTTTTTTTCTCCTCTTTTCAACATTTTTAATCCTCTGGTATTTTATACCACAAAACAATAATAAATATGGCAAAAAACGTGTCAAATGTTCTGTATTAAAATATCTGAATATATATTTATAAATAATATATATATATATGAGGATATGCTCCACTCTTCTCGTGAAACTTTTTTCTCTCTCAAAGATGTAGTTCTGTTAATTTTCTTTTTACAAATAAATAGGACAATTACAATAGGGGATTTGTTTTCTTTATAAGAATTGACAAATAATAATAAAAAAAAAATTAATATAAATTATTGATGAGATCATACGGCCTGCAATGACACAGTCATTGTCCAGTTGTCAATTGCACATTAAATAGAAAGTCTGCCCTTGCACCGTCCACAAAACTGTACACACGCGCATCTCGATTTTACACAGGCGAAGTCACAAATTGTGCAAAGGGCGTGTTTTACTGTTAATATCTATCAGGAAACAGGGCTATCAATGGCTACTGCAAGAAACCTTTGCAGGATTTCATTCTTCATTCCATACACGTTAAGTCCCAACAAAACTGTTATATAAGCGTAGGTCTCGGGAATTTGGCAAGAATCGGGCGCTCTTTGGCAAAACAATCCTGCATGGAAACTCCTAGCATTTTTGCAGATCTGGCCCTCCATTGTAGGTCCCTGTTTCTAGCACTAAATTCCTGTAAAAACAAAAAGAGGATTCGTCAGTAAAATGCAACTTTAACATTAGGTTTGGTAATCTTACGAGATAAAATGGCACTGACACTCTGAAACCAATTAGCTACATGCCCCCAAAGAACATTAACGTTATCAAGTGTTTACTATGAAATTGTTCGGCAAGGTCGTTGGCATCGCTAAATACAACCTTACAACACCCTTCGCCTTCGTTAACATATGGTTAAAAGTTGACAGATATAGATGAGGAAATGTCACATGATTTGTTACTTGTATGACACAGGGATGTTTTAATTTCTTTTCAATGTGTCGCCGAATACTCAAAATTAAAACAGTTTGCTAAATTTGGTAGTAAAGGTGAAATTTTCTTCATTTGCATACAAGATAATAAGCGTAAGACGACCTAGAGCTACGTATCCCATAAGGCACTGCGGTAAGATAAAGTGACAGTTCTGACCTACAAAAAGCTGCATAAGGAATCGAGCTTTATGCAAATGTACGTGTGTTTCCCAGGCCTATTCTCCGGCGGAGCGCGAAACGCCTCGTGTTAACTACTACGGCGTACTACGAGATGCCTGCTTGTAAAATTCTAAATGACCCCATTCTAACTCGAGTGTCGGCCATGTGGCCTGTCTTCACAATTTAAATCTCAAATTTTGAAAACGTGCAATCACCGCGAGGTTTTTTTTTTCTGCTGGTTGTGCACTAGATTGACTTTTTCGTGGTCGTACTTTTGTACTATTGCAGTGCTTTATACAATTGATGGTACCAGCTGATCTTAATCGTGATGCAATTTTTCCCCATTTCCCCCTTGCTTTGCGACTTTGAGTTTTCCTATTATTTGATTACTTCACATAATATGTCTATATGTACCAAGAGACTTTTAAAAATATTCCTAATATGTATTTTCTTCCGTGTTTTTATTCAGATAAATCAAAGGATTATTGCTTTAAAACAAAATGATTATTTTTTTTTAATCCTTCTGTCTTTTTAATATTTCTGTTGAGTTTCCACTGATTGAAATTTTTTGTCATGTAAGGTAGAATTGCAAATGAAAACGTAAACAAAATCAAATCCTATTTTGATTCTTCTCCAATTTTTATTGGGCATTTCTCCAGATATCAGCTTAAACCATCGCATGTTGTGTGGGTCTATACTATTTATAGAATCTATATTTGTTTTCGGGTTCCATAGTGATTTCCTTGCCTTTCTTCATCATTACGTCAAATTACAGAGAGATCCGAAGGCAGGCATTGATTTTATGAGGATATATACATGAATAATTAACTTACATTATAAGCCCTTCAGATAAAGGGGCTACAGCCGCAGTTGCTTAGTCAAACTCGGCGATGGGGGTAAATCGGCCCTCTTTCTCTTCTTCATGAAATCTGCAGAAAAAAGAAAAAGATTCTGTTAAAATATTGTCATTCTGTATAAAATTCATTATATTTCCTTTTCAATGTTTCATTAAATTTCCTTCTCAATGTTTCTGTATATTTGATTTTCAAATACAAAGGACATAAATTTAAAGTAAATGTCCATATATAAGTGCAATTATGTCGTAAACATATGTTCATTTCTTATGAACAAAGGAAAATAGATCTGCCAACAACTCCATACATAAATTGTAATTGGGAAACAAATACAAAGTGTAAACAGATTAACGGTCTTGATTGTCCATTGTCAACTGGCTGTATTATGTCATGGAATTGCTACTTGTTTATTACGGTGTATATGTGTATATATAACAGCACGTGTCAGCCGCTATCACCCGTCCAGCTCGGCATGGGGTGACACGATATATACAACATAGCTAACGACGACATAAATAGTAAAGTTTAAGTATTGGATACACCGCGCAAAAGCGAAACAATGAACAGCTTTGTATAAACTTGCATAGGGAGATCATGAATGAACCAGGATTAACGGAAAACTTGGCATCCCGTCAAGACGAATCGACATTCAGCAATACTGACACGTCCGTGCACGACCGACCTGGCGTCCAATCGCGACCTAAAACTAGTTTCAAAACATTCCCGCACTAAGTTTAAAGATCCGAACCAACACGTTGGTTTTTAAATAGCCAGAAATACACATGGTGTTTCCATTTACAGGTCTACAAATTAAACAATTTCCCCCATCAGCTACTCGTTCTGTTTACGAGAAATCATGACTCATCCCCGTACGTACGCATCCACGGCAATGTCAAAATTACAACTGCCAAGCAAAACGTAGTATTTGTATCAAGTGCTAGGTTTGTTGGTTTGACCTAGATTCGACAAAAACACCTTTCAAACTGCGTTGATGTTAACTCTTGAGTTCATCCTGATATATAAACACTGCAGTTCAAGAAGATGTATCAAGAAATGCGTAGAAAATTGGTTGTCATGCGGAAACACATGCCTTACCAAGTTCCTCATGTGAAGGGAGACAGAAAACGCGAGTCATGTAAACGGAATTAACAAAAATATCGCATAAACCCCTTTTCTTCTCAAAACAGTATGTTGAAGGTCTCAGTTTATATACTTACTTGGCATCTTTGTCTGTTTTAGAACAGGGGGTGTGTTATTGCACGTTGAATTATTCCCGGTCTCACTTTTCTCTGTGTCACTTTCCAATCTCCTCTTCAGAGGATTTAGTCGTTCCTGTTTTGATGTATAAAGTCTTGTGTAAAATTCAGGAGCTGTCGTTGCAAGTTCCCACCTATCTGATAGTGGGATATCCTTTGAAATGTCATAATCGTATTTCTCTTTCGCCACTTTTATGTCCTCGTTCAAAAATTCCTTGTACAATTTGTTCATGCAGTCTCTCTCCTTTTCACTCGGAGAACCGAATAAATTCCGGCAACACTTAGGTTTGGGTTTTATTTCTACCATATTCACCGTTTTCACAGTACCACTACCTCCGTCTAACATACTGAAACTAACGTGCTCTCGATCCGAATAATAACACTAGAGTAATAGCAAGTCAGAACACGCTACGGTAATCTTCACCGAGGCAGCCAATCAGAGCGCAGGTGGGCGGGGTTGGCATTCATATCATCACGTGACGTCGAAGTACATAATAATCAATATGCATGTGTAGTACAAACTACAAATGTTACTATGTTCTCAAATTTATTAATTAAAAAGTACTAAGCATTTGGTAAATATTGGAAATAATAACAGTGCATTTTGAAGACTGCTCGTAGAAATCTTTTAAAATCATTTTTAAGGTAGTAATATTGAAAAGTATTTTATGGTTTATTGAATATCTAAAAATAGACCCAATCTTGGCGTGTTGGCACTTGCTCTAATGTTTACTGAGGCGAAACTGACGTTACTGCATACAAAGGGAGACAACACCGTTTTGTTTATTAAACATTTTTATTACAATTTTTTTTAACAGTTCGCTTATTTGTTTGATGACCTGCAGATGACGGAGTATTTAGTGTCTACTGGTCGGATCAGTCTCTCCTCCGCATTCAATGCGTGGACTGACCACTAGTCTGAGGATTAATATTCCTAAAAGCTGTTTCTTTTCGTGTATATTCAACAGATGTTTGATGTCATGGGTTAGGTCACAGTTCGTCTGGCCAGGATAAATATTTAATCAGTTTGTGCACACCACTTTATTTCAAGTTAAACATTTTTTTTTTGTGCGAGTTTAAGTCCAACAGATGACATTTAATCTGACATAAACCATTCAAACAAAGAACTAAAGCGTAAAATCTATAATTGTCAACCAAAATAATTTATCTGGGATGAAAAAATATTATAAAAACTGCAACAAACAATGAACACAAATGTCAATTACATTCAATATGCTCGCGAAGATTAGGCAATAGGGCCGATATTTTATGTTCTCCTTTAGATCGCCTCAAGCCAGGGTTCTGAAACTGATATCCTTGAACGATAATCCGTGCGGTACCTTAGAAGAGGATGGAACTGAATTTTGTCTTCATTAATGGTAATTAGTATACCGAACATACGCCACTAATTAAATGCACGTACATTACAAGCTTTGACCACAAACCAGGATGCTAATGATCTGTTAGAAGTAACGGTATGGTGGATGAACAGTATCTTCACCAAGATAAGGAGTTTGTAACTTGGTCAAATGAAATTTAGCTTCCCAACATTGCAGGACAGTTGATTATAATACACCACATCAGCGCACTACAGAATTTCTTTTTTACCATTAGCACGTCAAAAAAAAAACAACATAGATAAATTTCAAATATTATCAGACAAAGAATTATCTTAAACGTCTTTATTTTAATAAGTTTTTTGTCTTCTTCTTTCAAACAATAAAGAACGAATCTCTGAGATGCCGTTATCGAGTAATCTGCATGAAATATCGATGTATAATTACTTAAAAATCTCAACCAAACACAGACAGATAAAATCAAAAACGATAGAAAAAGTTTCGGCATCTTTTAAAAACTCTTGCAGATTACCAAAAGAGGATTACGATAAATGCTTATCTTAAATCAGATGTCTAAATATTTTGTTATGAAAAGATAAACGCGCTACACGTGTTTGTTTATTCCTTTCATCAAGAGGATAAGTCAAATAAGATATATTTAAAGAAAGATAGTTAACAAAAGTAATCCTCGGAATGAAGAGGTATTTAACTGTCTTGTGGGACGCTACCAACGACTCCCAAGTTAAGCACTTATAACGGCATAAAAGATAAATTCTTGGGAGGTCACGTTGAAATGACCCAACTTCCAAAAATTATAGGAAGATGGAATTTTGTCTTAAAACACTAAATGAATGCAAAAATCCCTTTTCCCGCCAAATGTTAAGATGTGGCAACCCCCGGGGACGGTACGACAGAATTATCTCCTGTTGAGAAGTAACAGTTTCGGCACATTCCGGCCTTTGTCGGTGAAGCTATCCAATTAAGTCACAACTAATTTCTAAATCGATAAAATCACCATGTAATGATTTGTAATTGGATTTTTATTGTGCAATCAAGCGCTAGTATGTTTGAGGTTGAATTAGCTAACTTCTTCAATGCCTCAAAGATCAAACGGAAGCAGACACAAAATTCGAAGCGCCACCTTTTCTTAACGGTTAATTTGGGTTTATTTCAGATAATCAAAGAAACAAGTTACTGAAGGGGAAGCAATTTGTAGTAAATGCCTCTGCGTGTGTTAATTTCACGTCACTTTAAAGCTTGTTTTCACCTCCACTTGATAACGTCCTTTCAAGCTGCCAGCGCAAACAGATGCACAGATGCGCCTTTTATAAACTAAGCCAAAATAATCATTTCTTGAAATTGAATAATTAAAATCAAAAGATTACTTCATTGCATGTTAATCCATGAAGGATATGACGATAATGCCGTTTTATCTCTATAAATTAACATTTATTAAGGACATCTAAAGTCTTATTTTTATGAAATTATAAAGAATTTAAAGACAGGCCTGTAGATAGCAATTCATTTTTTAGGGGGTGGGGTGTTACAACCAAACAATGATCAGTCTTTTGGCACTATGAATCCAAAACAAGTTCACAATACGCACTATTTTTTTTTTTTTTTTTTTTTTTTTTGCTTTTGGTGGAGGAGGAATATCGGGGCCCTCCTAATTCCTACGTACTTTCAGGATGGAATTTACTCTTAGCACAGTCACGTTGATTAACTGACGATATTTTTTTTTTTTTTTTTTTTGTTTTCTTTTTTTTTTTGCTTTTGGTGGAGGAGGAATATCGGGGCCCTCCTAATTCCTACGTACTTTCAGGATGGAATTTACTCTTAGCACAGTCACGTTGATTAACTGACGATATTAAAATTAAAGAAGAAAATGAAATATCAGTTTAAATCATCAGGTTACTCCCTCTTTCAAGCGGACTTGAGGGTTACTTAAAGTTGCATCCTATAACATGTACATGCACCTCCAACATTTACTTTATTTCAAATTTTGGTCCATACCACTATATAATTTTGGTTAGGCGTGGATCCAAGAATTCACAAAAAAAAAACCAAAATCAAATTTAATTTAACATTTACAAAAGTAATTGTTTATTTTGGCACAACACACACTGGGTAAATACTAATAAAAAACCATGCACGTGAATTTTGACGATCACTATAATGGCACAACACATTTTTTCTCATTTTTTCACTTAAGTAACTGAGGTGAAGCATGAAAAGAATTTGAAACACTTTTCATGCTTTTACGATAATTTCCTTTCATTGTCAATGAATCTTTCACGTATGAAGTTTTGCGAGTAAGTTTTCATCATCAGCTCTTTATTTTATCTGATTATATGTACACAACCCTTTATCTAAGTAAGTTTTACCGGATACTGATTTAGATAGTGGGTCCTCTATACTCTCCATTCCTTATCTGAATAAAACGAAACATTACACATTCAATAAGCCTCTTTGGTCACTTAATTACTGTTTGTCCATTACTACGGTATGGTACCTCAAAGCAATCAGCTTTTTGAACTTGGATTTTTATGGATAAGAGTTTTTGTCCCAAAATGGATGAAAAGAATTCAGCCACAACAACGACGCGCATGAAAAAAGTTTCAAGTATCATCGAGGGCATTATTTTTAAAGCAGATTTACATTCGATAATATTGATGGTATTTTCCCTAAAATATATGGTTAGCAGATGCCTCTTGAATTACGTAAAACTCATTCACGGGACTAAGAATAGGTGAGAATCATGGATCAATTTTCACAATAACTAGAAAGAAACGCCGACTTACGCCCGTTACATCATTTCTCCACGCGAAACAAAGTACCACCCTAACGATAAAACCCCCTGACTACTTCAGTACCGTTTTGCTTTGTGTTATCTCCCTTTGTTCTGCCTGATTGAGGACATGATTGTAAACTTGTTCCTCCGCCCAGGCCCTCACACCTCGGCGGACTCGGGGTACGCGGGGAACTCCCGGGGTGTCCCGTTATCCTCTCCCGCCTGCACACAGCGGCCCACTCACGGAATGACTTTGTAATGTTCCGCAAATCTCGCGCAGTGGTGTTGAATAAATCTCGTAGAATATGATTTCACAGAAAACGTGATTGATACGAAACAGTACAGGCACAACTGGCATATGATAACTATAATCATAGTACCTAGTTTACACTAAAGCAGCCACCATATTCACTACATTTTAATGTTATTAAAATTCTCTTCGTTTAAAAGAATAAGAATTAATTTGATCATCTACATATTTCATTGTGCTTATCAAAAATAATTGGAATTGGACCAAAAGAAGTTCAGAAATATGAGAGAGAGAGAGAAAGAGAGAGAGAGAGATTTAACTATCCCATAATAAGAAGAGCAATATAAATTTCCCCTTAAGTTTGTCAAGTACATTTTGATTAAACTTCGTGAACATCGCGCCTTTTCATCATAAATCTTCCTTGAATTCACGTTAAATAGAGTGGTCATTCTAAAAGAAACAGTAATGAATTGAGACTGTCTTGAAAAGTAAACATTCTGCCAGATAAATATCCGTCCAGGTGCGCGCTTCAAACAAACTCAAAATTTCCGGAAGTTATTTTTTGTAATTTACTCAACAAAGAGGGCAAAATACTAATAAATACATTGCTGAAAATATAATTTTGATTCTTGAAGACTAGAGATTTAAAGAAAGAATGAAAAGCTGTCAGAGAAATAGAAAATGAAAATGTCAAAATAAGTTGTAAAAGCTTGTGTTGGATTTTTAAATCAAGTTTGTTTGAGATGAAAGCAAACCTGATACCCGGCCCCTCACGGTAGATGTAACAATTACAGCAGCATTACAAGGACAATATGGAATCTTATCCGGGAATTGTTTACATTAGTCGGGTGACATGTTGGTTCCAGGACCCGAGGATGCGAGTTAGATAAGGGTGTCACTAATGCCCGAACGATACAGTCCAATTTTCCACAACCCACCCATATGACACGGATACACCCCGGGCAATATTTGCAATGTTTTGACAAGTGTATATTTATGAAGCGAGATCAATTTGAT